CTGGGAAGACTGTGAGGGACCATCCTGAGGAAGGGGAGGCGGCCAGGCGGCCGGGGGAGCCAGCACACCACGATGCAGCTATGACCCATGCGAAGGACTGAGGGAAGGAGGAAGTCTGACTGCAGTTTTTTAAAGACCCTATTGAGGTATCATTTACATCCATTTTGAGCGTACAATGACTTTGTAAACATGCGGAGTTGTGCAATCATTACAATTCAGTTTTAATACATTTCCCTAAACCCCCCAAATGCGCCTGTGTGATTACAGTTAAAGCCTGTTCTTACCCCGACACGAGGCAACTACTACTGAACTTCTGCCTTAGAAATTTGCCATTTCTGGACGTTTCACATAATCACACAGTATGTACTCTCTGTGTCTGGAGTGTCAGCATAAGGTTTTTCAGGTTCCCCACGTCGTAGCATGTACTGGTTTCTCTTCCTTTTTGATTATCCCGTTACAACTTGATGGGCACTTGGGTTATATCCTTTTCAGCTATTATGAATAATGTTGCCATGAACAGTCTCACGCTGTTTAAACATGAGTCTTTGTGTGGACATGTTTCCACTTCTGTAGGGTAGATACCTATGGGTTGAATTGCTGGGTCATGTGCAAACTCTGTTTCCCATTTTGAGGAATGGCCAGACTGTTGTCCAATGTGGAAACATTTTGGAAAATTTCCATTTCCATTGTATATATGCACTAGCAATATCTGAAGGGTCCTGATTGTTAAGTCTTTTTGATTTATAATCCATCCTAGTGGGTGTGAAGTGGGATCTCTCTGTGGTTTTGATTTGCTCTTTCCTAATCACTAGTGATGTTGAGCCTGTTCATTATCTTCTCAGCCATTTCTATGTCTTCTTTCGAAAAATGTCTATTTAAATTGTTTACCTATTAATTAGTAATGAGTTATATGAGTCCCTTACTAGATATATGATTTACAATATTTTTCTCCTAGTTGTTGGCTTTTCTATTTTCTTAATGGTGTCTCTTGAAGTGTAAAAGTTTTAAATTTGGATGAAGCCCAGTCTATCAAATTTTTCTTGTATGGGTCATATCTTTGGTGTCATACATAAGAAATCTTTGCCTAATTCAAGGTTAGGAAGATTTTCTCTTAAATGTTTTATAGTTTACTTCTTAGGACTTATGATCCATTTTGAATGCCTGATGTGAGGTAAGGTCAAAATTCAGTTTTTTGCAGGTACATATCCAATCATCCAAGTACAGTGTGTTAAAAATTATTTTTCCCCCCATTAAAGTCTTTGTTGAAAATTAGTTGACCATAAAATAAGGGTTTATTTCTGGACTTTCAGTTTTGTTCCACTGACCTAATGTTCTTATGCTAATACCACACTTTTTTTTTTTTAATTGGGGAATTAGGGGATGGGAACAGCGCTGGGGAATTGGGGGAAGGCGAACAGACAAGTTGCTGTCCCCCTGTTCTTTAGTCTATTTGTGGAGGATGTTGCTTCACTGGTTCAAGTTGGCACCATCATTGCGCTCTTCCCAGGCGAGGCAGATCGGTTGCCGGCTTCTGGATAGCCACTCACATCGGCTGCTGGCTACCCACGCTGGCCGCTGGCTACACATGGTAGCCCATGGCAACCCACTGCAGCAGGGGTTGCAGCCTATGCCGTCGCTGCCAACTCACAGCAGCCCAGCTCCAGGCTGACCTGTTGTTCAGCATCTTAGCTGTAGAGGGCAGTGTCACTGGCCCTCACATGTGGGATCCAAACCAGGGCCCTCTGGCGTCCCAAGGCAGCTCTNGGAAACAAGACCCCCACCGAGGTGAGCGGGGCCTGTGGGAGCCCCAAGCCCAGAGGCACTATGGGGGCGCTGGCCAACCAGGAAGGTGACACCAACTGGTGACTGTAAAGGTCAGCCCTGACTCATCAGGGTGGCTGTGCTGGTTTTAGAGGAGAAAGGGCACTGGGTTTTGAGGCAGAGGCCCCCGAGTTCCCACTCTAGTTGTGTTTTTAGGCGGGTGTGAATTTTGGCTCAAACAGCCTCTTACCCCGAGTCTCCTGTGTGAGGAGGACAGCCTTCACGACCCTACTGTGTGGGACAAGTCAGGCCGTTCACCTTGGCATGTAGGGCTTCATGCTGAGGTGACGCTAGCTCGGAACGGGACCAGCCCTCTTCTCCTCTTAGGTGTCCCACCGCTTCCGAGAACTCATGCAGCTCTTCCACACCGCGTGTGAGGCCAGCTCTGAGGATGAGGACGACGCGGCCAGCACCAGCAATGCAGACCAGCTGTCTGACCGCGGGGACCTTCTGTCTGAGGAAGAGCTGGATGAGTGACACGGGCAGCATGTGGGTGTCATCTACACAGGACCCCAGCCTACGCGCACCCTGGTGAGGGACAGGGTGCTTGTACTTTGAGCTCAGCAGACAACTGAGGCGCGGGCCGAGGACCAGGACACCGCAGGCTGGCATTGCCTGGCTCTGCCATCCTCTGCTTCACTTAGTCTTTTCTGAAGACCTTGGAATCTACTTTCTACATAGTGTCGAGGGTCGGGCTCAGCGTCATCCCCCATTTTCTTTGTCCTGAGGGTACACACTCATGGTTCTGTGATCTGAGCAGTGTTCCAACATGTAATAGGTGCGTGTGGGTGCAGCCAATCCTGAGACACTGAGCGCCTGCATCCGCCCTTTATTGTACAGCAGCTCTCCCCCTTCCTGGAGCTTCAGTCTGTGAGGCTGTCTCCGTCCTGGTAGCATTGGGCCAGACTGCGGAGCTCGTGCAGCAGCTCCTCCAGGTCACCCTGTTCCACTCCGGCCTCCATGAAACTGGCCCAGCGTCGCAGGTCGACTTTGGTGAGCTCTTTGGCCAAGTCNTTTTTTTTTGTTTAAGTTGCTAAGTACTTTATTTTCCTGCTATTATGAATAGAATTACTTTCTTAATTTCATTTTTGGATTTTTCATTGCAAGTATAAAGAAACACAATTGGTTTTGGTGTATTAGTCTTGAATTGTTGTGACCTTGCTGAAGTTGTTTTAAGAACTCACATTCAGCGGACGACAAAAGCAATGAGGTAAGTCTCCTCTAAGGACTGTGCAGATGATGCTGTTGCCATATGACTCCCTAGTCCACGTTCATGAAAAACAATCAGGCATGGCGCTTATGAGGTTAGCCTTTCAACGACGGAAGCCGTTTTCCCAGCCTTGTTTGCAGCTAAGGGTCAGGCTGGCCCATCAGGTGTGGGTCCTGGCCAGTGGCCATCTTCCGGTGGGGGAAGAGTAGCGGCATCTTGCTTTTTTGGGGGGTGGAGGCACTGGGGTGTCGCGGGCGTAGGTGCCGTTGTCATTAGCATGGACTGCAGTGTGGCTGTTACAGGTAGCACTGGTGATTATCACAGCGCCCCTCTCCTGCTGTGGTTGGGATGTTGTCAGTGGCTGCTGAGCGGTGACACTGGTGGAGGTTCTGTGTGCCACTTCATTCCTTTTTAAATTACTTAGAGCAGGCACTCAATTTACAGGAAAGAATCCTGACAGATACGATTTCCAAGATACAGTTGGCCCTGTATCCGTGGTTTCTGCATCCATGGATTCAATCTATCTGGGATCGAAACTACTCAGAAAACAAATGTACTATGTAGTTAGGCCTACGATGGTTATGTTCAGACTTTCCTTCTCGTCATTCCCTGAGCAATACAGCAGAACTGTTGACGTAGCATTGCAGTGTACTAAGTGTAATCAGTAATCTAAAGAGGATTCCAAGTACACGGGAGGATGTGTGTACGTTCTGTGCAAATGCTACGCCATTTCATGGAAGGGACTTGAGCATCTGCGGAGGGTGGAGTGGAGGATGTTTCTAGAACCCATTCCTCACAGATAACTGCACGTGGGAACACCAAGGTACAGAAGAGTACATTTTTGTGTTTTAAAAAAAATGCGTATTTTGTGTGTAGAATTTTGTCTCTAGAATTTGGTAACAGAAGCTGTCTCTAGAGAGGAAAGAATGGAGCCTGATTTTCCATGATGTGTTTTTGTATGGTTTGAACTTTGTAACACACATATGGCAAAAATAATTAGAACAAAGGCACAGTGAAGCCACCAAAGGACAACTAAGGGACTGCACGATCGGCTGTGTTTAGAAAGCTCACCTAGGAGCCCTGTGAAGATGGATTGGAGGGAGGGGGCAAGAGTGGGTGGCGGCACAGAAACACATGTGCAAATTATTATAGTAACTCAAACAAGACATGGTGGGGAAAGGCAGGCAGTGCTGGTGGGACCGAGGAGGAAGTGTGTCTGAGCCACTGCAGACATAAATCGAAGACCCGATTCCATATTGGGAGGTGTATAAATCAGGGTTCAATCGGAGGAGCAGACCATATCGGAAGGGATCTGTTAAATGGACTCAAGCTTTCCAGCCGTAGGCGCTTGGTGAGCCGCCTCTGTAAGGCTGGTATCTCTCAGTCTGACGCTAGAACCTTAGTCCCACTAAACAGATGGGATTGGGTCAGAGGTGGAAGTTGTATTTCTCATAGGGACTCCTTGAGCAGGAAGGCAGTTTAGGGGTACAGGAAGCTGGCTCTCAGTGAAAAAGCTGCTGTATACTCAGACTGTCTTCCTCAGTAGTTTTTCAGATGAAGCTTATAAAACGCAAGTTATAAATGGTAGCTAGCTACCATGTAATGGTTGCCTACTGTGTGTGAGGTATTTTACGTATGTGATTTAATTCTCACAAACCCCCCAAAGTTTGGCATTATTAGTACTATTAGATAAGGTGAAATTAGAGAAGGAAATAGGCTAAGAGACCCTAAGATAGCTAATAAGTGACAGATCTGGGACTCAAACTTCTGACTCTTTATACCAACAACCTGGGTATGGTGAGAATTAAACTCTACTGAAATTGACTTGAGTCAGTATTTTCTCAAATCTCCCAAAGGTGGCACACAGCTTGTACTACTCTGTATGCACTAAAGATAAGTTAATCATTACACACAGTGTATGCGGTCAGGGTTTAGTACCTGAGTCTTTCAGGAACTTGTAGAAAGGGCTATGCCATACGCACAAGGCTGCCAGACTCAGCTGCGTTCAGTGAGGCTCTCAGGGACCCTGGATAAAGGTGTAAATATAGGAAGCAAGCACTCAGTGCCTGGCAGGGAGAAGGGAAGCAGTCGTCTCCATCTCCTGAGCTGAGTCAAGTCTGGAAAATAGTACTCCTGGAAATTTCTCTAGAACTTAGTCTCTTTAGACACCCAACAAGCAGAATGCTAGAGAAATGTAATTTGGCCATTTTATAATCTTTCCATCTTATAAATCTGACACAACACTTTAAGAAAGATAATTTAATTTTTAAGGAAATCAACCACGATTAATTAAAACGAAAACCACATGTCATAAACTGATGTTTATGAGTTCCAGGAACAAGAGGACGTCCTACTGCCGTTACAATCGCTTCACAGTCACCAGGAACCCATTTCAGCGACGGGTGCGCGCCGACCACCATCCTGTCCAGTCCCACGAGCTCTGCTGTGCGACCGCCCCATCCGACTGGGTCTACTCAAGGAGGGTCACTGTCTTCCTGCGGGTGACCACGGCTCACAGGTAGGCACAGAGCCGCTCCAGCTGCCCCGGGTTTGCATTGCTCAGAAACAGCAGCTCCTGCTTCCCCTCCTCTGTGTGGGCTGCAATGGGGGCAACGCAGACATCGGGGGTTTTCTCCCGCAGCATTACGTTACCCAGGAAATTCTGTAGTCGGAGGCGACATGATCCAGACTGCATTCTGACCTAACTAGCACCCGTGGCACCTCACTTTTAGGTCCTTTATCCTAATAATAACTATTACGTTTTCTACTCGTAAATCCCTCCAATCCAGCACCTACCTCTCCCTCTGTTCCAAGAGTAGTATCTTCTGGACTTGAGGACTCTGCCAAATCCCCACCCCTTAGAAATGTCTCCACTGTGCTTCCAGCCCACGGGTCAGCAGCTTCACGCCCTCCCATTGCCTACCCCAACGACAGCTAATTCTGTTCCCTAGTGACGGGACAGCCTCCGCGCTTCCTCTCCACCCTATCCCCACCCCACCCCCAGCCCAGAACGTTTCATCTGCACACCCTGGGACAGGCCCAGCAAGGGTCTGGTTTCCTGCTGGGTGGCCTCTCACACTCAATTATTCCATGGGTATCCCAGCAAATGAGTCTCTCTATCGAAGTTTGTTGAATGATGAATAAATACAACAGGAACAAAATAGATAAAAACCAAAAAACAAAGGAAAAAATCCAGTAACAAGAGTGTGGCAGCCACCCAAACCAAATGCCTGGGCTTGGCGGGGGCCTTTCAGTATCTGAGCCTGGCCTGCTGCTGACATTAGGGAGAGACGGACGTCTTCCGTAAATCCAACCTCACTGACCATCTACTCAGCCAGAAAGGAGTCAAGATAAAGGGAAAAAAGCTGAGATACAAATTAAGTCTGCTGCCGAGCGAAGGCAACCAAGGCTGTGAGCCAGTGGGTTCCTCCTGAGAGCACAGGGCGGAAACTGACCTTTCTCATGCTGAAGCCAGCTGCTCTCCAAATAATACTGAATACAGCTTTCAAATTCTTTTGGGTTATAGTTGGAAACCAGGATGGGAATAAAGGGGTCCAGGGCATCAAATCCTTCCTGAAGAAAAAGGACAAAGATACAGTAATTGTTAAGTGACATCGGCAGAGATCCAGTTATTTAAACACTTTGAGGGCACGTGCTTCATTTTTCTGCTGCTCTAGTCCTCACTCAGGGTGCCTCACTCAGGGCGCCCCACTCAGGGCTCCCCACTCAGGGCACCCCCACTAGGGCGCCCCACTCAGGGCTCCTCAGGGTGCCTCACTCAGGACGCCCCTCCCAGGGCTCCTCACTCAGGGCGCCCCACTCAGGGCGCCCCGCACGGCGCTGCCTGCTGTGGTTCTAGTACTATGTACACGAGTACTATGTTTAAAAGGAGATGATGCTCGACGGGGTGCTCCTTGTTTATGTTTATATGTAAGCGTGTACATACGTATATACTTGAGTTTTTTACAGTTCTGACCTGAACAGTCAGCAACAGTTTTGACAGTTCATATATTCCAAACAGAAAATAAAACAAGGATGGAAAAGACCCTAAATGGAACAAAAACTGAAGCAGACAAATCAAACTGTACAGTAGCCCCCCCCTTACTGGCCGGGGGTGCATTCCAAGACCCTCAGGGGACGCCTGACACCTTGGATAGTACTGAGCCCTACAAATCCTGTGTTTTTTCCTCTACATACTCACCTTTTCACTTAAAGGAAGCACTTTACCGCTTCTCTTTGACATATCTGAATTGCCAGTGCTTTGGCGTCAGTGTTAATTAAAACGGGGTGACCAGAACACAAGCCCTGTGATACTGCGATAGCTGATGTGATGACCAAGAGGCTAAGTGACAAATGGGCAGGGAGCACAAGCAGCGTGGAGACACTGGACAACGGGGTGAGTCACATCCCAGGCTGGATGGAGCGAGAGACTGCATCACACTACTCAGAACGGTGTGCAGTATAAAACTTATGAATTACTTACTTCTGGAATTTTTCACTTAATATTTTCGGACCACAGTTGCCTATAGTGAACTCAAGTTGTGGAAAGCGAAACCACAGATAAGGAGCGACTGCTGTACTCACATCTCAAATTTCAAACATAATACTGAAGGGATGTGGGAAACGAACCCAAGTTAACTTCTGAGCAGAGTATTTGCACTAAAGGCCCTTAGGCTAAAGAGAAAAGCTTCTCTAAACAAATGCTGCCATCCAGTTCAAAGCTTCTTTTCTATAGCGTCAAGGCTTAGCAATTCTGAAACTGCTGTCACTGTAATCTAAGACTGAGCTGCTAAGGAAACGTGCTGTGGGTAATGAGCAGCTTCTTACTGTTGGAGGCGGGGGTTAGAACGCTGTGATGCTAGCCTGGGACACGCTGGTAACAGTGTGGCTGTGCACATGTAAACACACACGCACGCAGATGTTACATGTACTGGTCACTAGCTCTGCTGGGGGCCCAGAAGGGACACCCCCATAGCAGTGAGTACACCCAGCGAGCACTCCTGGTTCCTAACAGCATCTCCTCTGAAGCGAACCAAGGCTGACTCTAGAATGGGGCATGGGAAGTTCAAGGTGAGTCTGGAACATGGTCTTGTGCTCAAGAGAAAACAAGTACAGAAGGAATGATGGGTACTTGTTAAAAGGGCAGAGAAGCCAGCTGAAAAGGGCTCCTGCTGGCCAAATCTGACATGATGTAAGCCCCCAAATAAACAATGATAGAAAAGGTTACGCATTCACATGTCTGCGCTGAAACAAATACATAAGGGGAAAACAGCACAGAAAGCCAACTGATCACTTAGAAGAAATGGTGCAACTATATAGAAAATATCTATTTTGCAACTATCATAATAACTGATCTAGGGAAGAAATCAGCCATGGGTACTAAAGCTGGTCAGGTACATGGCAGAGTAACAGGACACTGGCCTAGTCTCAGAGCATCTCCATAAGGTACTTGCCGACTACAGAAGTAAACCAGGAACTTTGCTGAGGAGGAACCGGACCGGGGACACCTCGTGACTAAGTGGTCAGAGCTCACATGGCCAGTAATGAAGTGACACTGAGGAACCGTCCCAGAGGAAACGAGCTACAGAGACATGACTGCTGAAGGCAGCACATCGCCCAGGCCGTGTTCTGGACAGGACACCGGGATAACTGAAAAGTCAGCCTCAGCTCTACAGGCCGGTAAGAGAATGCCAGTGATGTCCTGACGTGATAACTGTGCGTGGCTAGAGGTCGGAAGAGTTTTGTTTTAGGAAGTACACGTGACTAGAGATAAAGAGGCATCATGTCTCAGGTTACTGTCACATAATTCAGAAATAAAAAGATGGGGAGGGCCGGCCGAGTGGCACGATGGTTAAGAACTGGTTTGGGACGCCAGAGGGCCCCGGTTCGGATCCCACATGGGGGCAAGTGACACTGCCCTCTACAGCTAAGATGCTGAACAACAGCTCAACCTGGAGCTGGGCTGCCATGAGTCGCCGGCAACGGCATAGGCTGCAGCTCCTGTGGCAGTGGGTTGCCATGGGCTACCGTGTGTAGCCAGCAGCCAGCGTGAGCGGCCAGCAGCCGCCGTGAGTGGCTGTCCAGAAGCCGGCGACTGATCTGCTTCACCGGGAAAGAGCGCAATGATGGTGCCAACTTGGACCAGTGAGGCAACATCCTCCACAACTAGACTGAAGAACAAAACGACAGCAACTTGTCTGTTCCCCTTCCCCCAATTCCCCAGCGCTGTTCCCATCCCCCCACTTCCAAATAAAAAAATCTTAAAAAAAAAAGATGGGGAGAGGAAGAATAAAGCGAATATGGTCGAGTACTAGGACTTCAGGAATCTGGGGGAAGTCGTATGGAATATGAGTTTTCTCCAAGTCTGAAATTAGGTCAGGATTCCTCAGACAGAATGACTATCTAAGGAAGACAAATTTCCCAGTGATCTGACCTTTCCCAGCAGCTCCTGAGGCAGGTAGGCTTTCCGGGGCTTAAAGAGAGAGCCAGTCTGGCTCAAAGTCAGCACAATGGCGCCTCCGCTCTGAAAGGAGAAAAAGCCACATTAGAAAAAGCTGAAAAAGATAGGAAAATGCACTTATATATTGTCTGCAGATTGCTTTATTTGCCAAACAGAGGTGTGGCGGTGTGGTCCAGCACAGCTGAATGACAACGAAACTGGGTCTTAGCTCTAGCTTTGGCTCCCGCAGTCAATTGCTACATAATCTTATATTTATCAAGATTTTTTCCAAGTTGATAAGAAGAAACAAAAACACTGTGAACAACTGCAAACAAAGTAATTACACCAATATTTAAGTAAAATTATTTTGAATAGCTTATTCCAGTTAAGTGGAAAGATTAGAAGCCAAGTACATAGGTTTTAAACTTGGTTAAGTTATGGGAATTAAATAAGATACAAGACATTTCTGTCCATAAAATATTAGCGATGAAGCAGTCCAATATTTGAAATGAGAGCGCACTTCTTTTGGAAATGTGTTAGCATCTCAGGTACTCACCCAGTCATTTCGCACCACTTTCCTCAGGTTGTAAGTAAGTGCCAGCTCCTCTGGGGCAATCTGCACATTGTCGGCGTGGGTGGGGGAAGGGGGAGGCGAAAAGCAGAGGCCATTACTTGCTTTGCCTGGATGCTCCCAGACAACCGAAAAGCCCTCACCTACTAAAGGTGTAACCTCAGTACTGAAGATGTAGCCTGAGAAGCTCACAGCTGCTGGCCCCGAAACTGGCAGCTTCTGGAGATTAAAAACAGTCCCCAAGGAGAAAACACCCACTGCCCCAAATACCCGCTGCTCCCTTGATGCTTCTGATCTCCTCTCCTTAGACCACAGAGCCTCGTTTTGAAAAGAAAGAGAAAAAACTGACAAAGAAAACAGCTTCTGCTGTCATGTGCTTTTCAAAATACTCTCCCTTAGTTTTCAATGGATGGCAGAATTAGCATCGCCTCCTACTGATGCTGTTTTCACTCTACATCTGAATTCAAATACTCCAAAAACATCTCTCACATCTACTGAGTCCCAACTGCGCATTCGGCGGCACCAGAAACCAGAGGACTCAGAAGAGACAAACACAGTTTTCCTACCAGGCTTTTATCTTCTCTCCTCAGTGTGGTCCTTCCCCAGAGAGCATTGACTCCATCCACTGCCACCAGGAGGCGAAAAGTACCCAGAGAACTTTGCCTCTTTAGCTCTTTGAGCACAATCCCCACGGCATCTGTGGCGTTCCTCACGCGCGTCACGCCCTGCAGGGGGACAGACAGTGTCTTGGCCTGTGTAACGGGCCTTCTCAGGCTGTGGCACGGCAGCGTCTTTTCCTACCTGCTCAACCACCTCTCCCAGAGGGCTGCCTTTCTCGGTGATGTCTCGCTTATTCCAGACGTACTTCTCTTGAATCTTTATCTAAAAACAAAATAAAAAAGCCAAAACTGGCTACTCAGCCGAAGGATGACCATCCCTAGCTGACAGGTAGCAGGTTAAGGTTGTTAGGAATAGTTTTAATCTATTTTTTAAGCCCTATCAGAGATCTCAGTATGGAAGTGAATGCTATCTAGCCCATTTCTGCCTGGAGCTTAAAAAAAATATATATCTGTTACATACGATTCTGACGAAAAAGGTCCAGGATCTTAGCACCTGCATTTTTAACAAGCTCCTCAGTGATTCTGATTTATATCTAGAGTTGAAAACCCCTGGCCTAGAGATCACATTCAAGAATCACTAGAGTAATGAGTAATTTTACCACTACATTTCTGGTTCTAAAAGTGGTCTCCCCTGGAGAAAATTTTGTAGTTGAAAACGTGCTTTAGAGGGTTTGAGGCCGTGACCTTGGAAAAGTCAATTAGTCTGGACTTCAATTTGCTGCCCACAAGAAATACAAAATGGTATAGTTCTCTCAACTATAACATTAGTTCTCTAGAGTCTACTGGTACTCAGGGCACAGGAGACAAAATCCATTTAAAGACTGTCCAGCAGCGAGCTACTGGGAGTATAGTCACCTGACTCAGGAAACGCTCATTTGCAGTTTTGAAATTCTTCAGCCAGATCGAAGCCTCTAAAGGTTGATCAAAGCGCTGTTTGTTGTAGGTGGACTGCAGGAGATCCCGGCAGTTTTTCACCCAAAGATGAGCTAAAAAGAGGCACAAGAAAACAAATTGTGTAGGAACGGACTTTATCCACATCAACATACTCTGTGCCTCCCTGAGTTATGGCAAAATACTCCCATGGGTATTTCTTAAAGCCTTCCTGTTTCCAGGCTTCCTTTTCTGTCTGGTCCGCCTTAAACATTATTATTTCGGTCAGTACACAAGGCGCACCGAGTGTGTGAAAGGTCGCGCCAACTTCCAGGCAGTTTGTAAAGACAGTCCGAAAACGTGGCTGCACACACAAGGAGGCACGTGTGCAAGTCCAAGAGTTAAGTTTTAAGATGCATGCTGACAGCTCTAGAACGCTGACAGCCAGCACCGTGTCAAAGGCGCTTATGGGCGGGCACTCGAGGCTGTTGACTGACAGCAGTAGAGCCTGTGATGACCTCTCAGGCAGGAGTTACACTTTCACATGTCAAAGTAAGGACTGCTGGGCCAGAGAACTTCATCCTATTCTCAAAAGGCTCCAGGAAGCTTTTAGCGGAATTTCTCCTTGTTGCATTTACTTCACCTCGCACGCTGCTTGTCAGTGATGTGACGAGGTTATGATGAGCTAGCTCTGGCCTCTGCACCTGGAGCCAAGGCCTCTCCGGTGGCCGTCAGGGCCCTGTTGCGTATGAAAGCCACATGCTACCACAGTGACAGGAGAACTAACCTGACAGTGGAGACGGAAGGGCTTACCATCTGGAATATGCAGTATCAGCCAGTCCTGTTTGGCACAGAAGTGAATAACATGGCAAAGACTGAGGGTTTTTCCTGTTCCCTTCTCCCCATCTAAAGCACTTGTTAAAGAAAATACGACCAGAAGCGACCTTCTCCTGTCAACAAGTAGTGCTCTTGCATGTCTTCTTTTCCCCGATCTGAGGGAGGAAGCACTTGCTCAGGACAGCCGGGCAGGCAGGAAAGGATACAGAGAACATATCGCACGGCCGGGTGAGCAAAATTGGTGTTTTTCAGGTGATGCAGAAGCTCTAGGGCTGGTTTCCTTACCATCAGGCAAGCTTCATTGAATGTCTTCACCTAACGCAAAGGGAAGGAGAAAGGAGTGAGGGCGTGGGACTTCCGGCCACGTCTCGGATGCACGGAGCCTACCATAGCAAGCAGGGCCTCGAGCTGCGTACGAGTTTAGTACGATTTTTGTATTTCTACAGCATATGAACTCTTCTCGTGATACTTTTCTAAGGAAAGTGTTAAATTCGTTTTTAACAACTACTTAAACGCCAAAGTTCCTAGAAATCTGTTGGGTAACACAAGGAAAAGAGCAGGATATTGTTTATTTATTTAAGAATATCTTGCCTGGCTCCCAAAAGGATTTTAAGTAAAGGCAGATAAACATGGGCTGAAAGTACTTATAGTAACAGCACTATTCACAGAAGATAATCAATAGGTGAATCTATCTGTTTTTTCAGACTCAAATTTCATCTTTTAATTTCCTGCTCATTTAACCCCGCCCCCTTGTGCTCACAGCTGGTGCGCCGGCCCTGCCCCCGCCCCCGCCCCATCCAAGCACCTGCTTTAGGTAGCGAGGTGGCAGGCCCTGGGGGAACAAGGCCTTCACGTCCGGGAGGGGGATGCTGTAGTGCTGGCCCTCGTGCTGCTGCTCGTGCTTGGCCTAGGAAACACAGGTGCGACAGGTGTAATGGGGCCACAGGCTGGGCGACAAAGACTTCGGAAACATGGGAAGGGCCCAACAGACCCCGTCGAAGACAATCGTGTCTCACAGCTGGAACAGGTGGCTTTCGTTTAGTAAAGTAGGCGTAAAGGGCTGGGCCTTGCCCCAGTCCTATATGTATATGAAGCCGCTGTCGCCGAATGATGGAGCCGGTTGCTCAGCAACAGTAAGCCCTAGCCGTGGAGGTAGCAGGCAATTCTTGCCATCTGGATTCTTCTATGCTGTGTATAGAGATGCTCCAGTCATGTGACAGCATCATCTGCATGCTGCTGTTTCCATAGAAACACCAATTGGCAGATAAAGGGACTACAATTACCGAGAAAGCTGAAGGACAATTCGATGACTTCATTCACTTGCTCTATTTCATTTTGTGCATGTGCAGGTAGGTGAACGGAAGAGGCAGAAATAAAGCATCCCTGTCGGGATGGTGTTGGGGGAACGAGTTGTTTTTTCCCCTCCCACATGCATAGTAGCGCATGGTAAGATGGGAAGACTCAGAAGGTAGGAACAGGAACAAAAAGGGAGAAAAAAGCTGTTGGTTTCCTCCACGTTGCATGAAGCACAGCCCTGACAACTGACTGCATTTATGAGAGGCAGCAAGGATGCTGGGAAGAAGAGGAGGATGCTGGGAAGGAGAAGAGAAATCGACACCCAGCCTAATGGGATCTGGGGTAGAAAATACAACACTGGATCCTGCTGGAACTCTCGCTTCTGCTGACAAACCTCACTTTAAGTGCTGGTCTTCTCAGCAAGTCATTAGTTCCCTCTCCAGAGCCCGGAAATCCACTTAGAAAGGTAGAAACAGCCCCAGACTGGTTATTAGAACAGGGTTCTCTCGCTGCCCCACAGTGATCTTTAGGACTCTGTCCCAGGGTTTGTTCATAAACTGGCTGACTCTGTAAATAGTTTGACTGGAACACAGCCATACCCGTGTGTCTATGTCAGAGCTAAGGAATTGTGACAGAGACCACTTTGACTCACAAGCTTAGAAGTTTACTATCTGGTCCTTTAAGGAAAAGTTTGCTGACCCATCTAACTTTAACTGCTGAAGAACTCATTTCCCAAGTTTTTACTACTGCCTACCCTGCCCAGCAACATCCTCGGTGGGAGCTGAGTTCAGTGGTGTGATTATAGTAGAAATGGGGACTGACCTGCCCGAGTGTCCCGTCATCACGGTATCGGACAGGGATGGGGCGGTCTGGGTCTCAGCATGCTGTCCTGGGTGCATCGTGTGACTATATGTAAATGTGTTTAGCTTCTCTGGGTTTTCGTTTTCCTTATATGTAAAATGACAGCAGCACTAATTATAAGCCCTGAACAACCCACATACACATGAGCAACTCACCGGGTCATTCTCACTGGTGCGGGAAATAGCTCTGGGCCTCTCAATTGAAACCTGGTTGTCCAGGTGAGCAGCAAGGCTTTGGGGTGCCTGGGTTCCCGTGTGCAAAAGATGTCCAGGGTCCAGCTATAAAAGAAATCATTTTAGTGTTTTGGAATTGTTAGCCTTTTTCTGCTTGCTACAACCCTGAGGTTCTAAGCCAGGTCTGCAACAGGGAAAGCTGTCACTAACATACATTTTAGTTTTATGTAAAGCGGATCCTTGTAATTTACAATTCTCTGTTCATCCTCTGCGTCTGTTCCGATGTTGTGTTGCTGTGTCAGGGCTCTGTGTCATGGGAAGGACAATTCCTTAGAGACTATTCGGGACCACAGCACAGCCATTACCAACCTAGCAGGACACTTCTTTTAATGGCTCCTGCCTACAGGGATGAATGGTGGCCAGTGCTGTGCAGTCATCAGGGGGTTAGTGCAGCGTTCCTGCAAGACAGGTACAAGTCCACCTCCACACCAAATGTCTTGTTAGCTGTGCCCTGGAGTAAAGAATTTATTGATAAAAGGAGGAAGGTGTGTGTAAAGCATCCAGACAAGTGAAAATAAACTTCTACAGGCAACTTGTGACCTGCACATGGAAACTGCTGAACTGGGGAGGGTCGGGATGGGGGCGATGATGATTCAGGAGACAGATCTGACAAATGCTAACTGGAGAACCCCCAAACTGAGCTTGAGGGCAGCTGGCCTTATGTAGAAGTGAAAAGACACCAGTTACAGGAGAAACTTCAGAGCGGGAGAACAGGAATGTGGGAGATGGCTGTAGGAAGGGAGTTGATTGATAGATCAATAGGTACCACGAAAGCTGCCGGTGTTTATCTTTAGTCTCACCAAGCCGCTTCACGGGCACAGAAATTGTGTATTGTATCACCCCTCACAACGCTTATGACCATTTAATCAGGAGACGCTGAACTCCATACCAGCTTTCTAACTGCTATCTTTACCTCTAAATCTTGGACTTTTCATCTTTCAGAGTCCAAAAGAGCTGTCCTCCCAAATAACAGGTTTAACCTTCATCTAATGAAAAAGCTTGGATGGCTTCCTACTGATGTCACCATAGCCCCAAATTCCTTTGCATGGAAATCATGACTTCCGCCTACCTCCCAATCTTGTTCCTGTGTGAACTCGTGGCCATTCGACCACACTAAAACATGTAATTTGCTTTTATGCCTCTATACTCCTGCTCATTCGACTTCAACTTCCCTCGCTCCCTTCTGAAGTCTTACTCATCCTTTAAGGCCCATCTCAAATGTCACATCCGCTGTGAAGATTGGCCTCCAGTCAAAAGTAATTACCTTTCCCTCTCCACTGATAGCACATTCAGCATTTTCACCTGGCCTTGAACTGCATTCATGGCTTTTGTTAATTCAGTACATATTCAATGCTAGGCAGTATAGTGTTTTACACACTATTTTTGAGCCAAGAATCCTGTTAGATAGGTAGAATATCATCGTGCCTGTTTTATGATGCGGGAAACCAAGGATGGGGGGAAATTAAGTAATCTTGCCTAAGGTTACAGAGCTGGTAGGTGGTGAAGCCAGAATTCAAATCCCAACTTTGTTTGACTCTAAAATCTCTCTTCTTTTGATCAGATCATGTTCCCTTATACACAAGTTTGTCTCCCGTTCTAGGCCACACACACTTGGAAGAGATCAAACTTTATTCATCTTTGGGTACCCTCCTCTTGGTACCTGACACCCACACATACTTGTGCCCTGGAATGAAGACTTTTCCGTTTGAGACACGTAATGGGGAGTGTGTGCAGCACCCAGCTAAGGGAAAGCAGCCTGCACACACACAACTCCATGAACTGCACACACAAACCTCTGAGCCAGAACTTGGAGATTTAACCTAACACAATAGAGTAAAGTAAGAGAGTTGTTCCAACTGTATCTGAGAACAGCAGACACCAGTGTTCATCAAATGTACAACTTCTCTACATTTCCCAGGCTCCCTTGTAGATGGACTGGGGTTATTTGATTAGTTCTGGTTCATGAGCTGTACGTAGAAATACAGGTGTCTTTTTGTAGTCCAAGCTGGCTAAGCGTGGAGGGATATACTCTTTCTTCCCTGCTGTGGCAACCTTCAACTCTACGTGCTGAGATTGCACCCCAAGATGAATGTCTGTCCACCCCCTCCCACATTTGCCTGCAAACCGCTTTGGAAATACAGCAACAGCAAAAACAGCACAAAGCATGTGCACACATTGTACAGTGTCATGTGCTGTGTTAGGCCTCTCAGCTCAGCCGAGCCATCCGAATAACACAGCTTAGTGGGTAGGACTCAATCTTCTCAGTGCCAGTGGAGAGAAAGCACCAGTCTAAAGAAAGCAGCAGCCGAGTGGAAAACTAAAGACCTTCAAGGGCCACGAGGTGGTGCTGTTTCTACAAGAATCCTGACTCTGGTTAACTGCTTTTTGCAGCCCATTAAGAGCTAGCAAAATGGATTCCTTACTTCTTACAGCGTTAAATGTGGCATCACCGGCTCGTTTCGTTTCCAGGGAAAACAGCCATATGTACAGCTGCCTCTGCATAGTTCCAGAGTGAACACCACGTAATTCCTGAAAGAATGGTGTTCACAAGCCAACCACAGTTACTCTAAACCGTCTACAAAAAGCACAAATTTCTCACGGACATCTCTGCAGTTTGGACTCATGCAAGCATCATCTGCCACTAAAGAAAGTTTAGCCTTTCATGTAATCAGTTGGGGCCAGAATCCATCCCTCTGTTGACCGTTGCTTTTTTATTTTTCATTTTATAATGGGTTATTTTACGTACATAAGTATATGGTGAACCCTGTAGTGAGAGGGGCTGCTTTTCTAGGAAATCAAATCTGTAACTAAACGATCAGATGGAAGTGACTAAGCCCTTCTGGCTGCATTCTCATCTGAGGACTCGGCTCTGGGAGGATTTCCTCTGGGTCCTACTGATCCCGGTTAGGTGCTCGGGCTGGGTGCTGTAATAGCACCAACAGTGACAATCGTTTCTTCATGATCCTACAACTGGATTTGAGGTCCTGGAGAACATGGACCCGAAAATGCAATACAGCACAGCGGTCATGGCCACAGGCTAAATCAGACAGACCTGCTGTCTAGTTTGGGCTCTGCCTGTTACCTTAGGCAAGTTACGTGGCTTTCTAATCCTCAATTTCTGCATCTGCGAAACAAAGATATTATCTACTTGATGGGTTGGTCATGAGAATTTAAAGAAATCAAGCACTGACCCAGTGCCTGGCATACAATGAATGCCCAACAAATAGTACTAACCATTAGTGAAATGAGTCACCTTAAAATCCTGAGTACATGCCATATGGAAGGTACTAAAAAACTATTTGCTAGATAAATGAAAGAATGAAGTAAAGCAACAGGATGTTTTCTTCATATATGATTTTATTATTTTATTCAACTATCAGATGCTAAAGTTTTAAATTGGCAACATATTTTCCTTTCAAATACTACATTAAGGGATGATAATTATTAGTCCAACTAGAGAATATTGAAAAAATTTAATAAAGATAACTGCGATCCAGCTCTTTATTTATTTTTTTAAATGTTAATTATGCTATGATATGCTGAGTTCTCAAGCACAGCTGTCTACTGAGACCTATTACTTGCAGGTTTTTAAGGCAGCTCGGAGTGAAGGCCATGGGCAGAAAAATGGAATTGTGGCTGTTCCTTTGAGTGTGAACTTGTAACTGAAAGCTCTAGTCAGCTGAGGTCCTCCAGAGCATTTGATTCTGGGTCTAATAAATCCATCTAAAAACAGAATGTACAAAGCGTTTAGGTGAGTTAGGACTCACCTTGTGGACCCTGGAGATGAGCCTTGTCATTCCTTTCAGCATTGTCCCTCCCTGCAAGCGTAAAAAAGAGAAAAGGTCAGCCAGAACTGGGAAACGATGATCTGCACAATGGATTAGTACCTGGAATATATAAAGAACGCCTACAAACTAATTTAAAAAATTAGAAGACACAAACAGACATTTCACAGAAATGTTAATACAAATGGCTAGTAAACCCATGAAAAAGTTTTCATTCTCATTACAAATCAAGGAAATGTAAATTAAAACCATCACAGTGAGACCATTCATAGCCACTATATTGGGAAAAACGAAAAGGTCAGACAACAGCAAATGGTAAGGAGGCTGTGAAGTGCTGGGAATCACAGACCTGGAGGTGGTCTTGGCCACCACGACACAGTCCCCCAGTGCCCAACACCAACCAATATTCATCTTTACCTGGCACCTCACCCACCTGATACCTAGCCCTACCTGGCACCTAGTGCCTGTATCTGAGCAGCTCAATTTTCTTAGTTCTTGTCATCCTCCCCCTACTTCAACTAACTGAACTCCCTGCCCCCAACACTGTCTAAACACTGGGACCCTCACAGATTGCTGCTGGGACTGTAAAATGGTGCAGCCACTTTGGAAAACGGTCTGGCAGTTCCTTGAAAGGTTAAACATGGCCTTACCAAATGACCCAGCCATTTCGCTCCTCGTTACAACCCAGGAGAAATGAGCACATATGTACACTCAAAACCGTGGGCACGAGTGCTCACAGCAGCATTATTCATGACAGCAAAAATGTGGAAACAACCCCAGTGTCCACCAACTGACGATGATAAACAACGTGCACGTGGCCATATAACGAGTGTTATTCAGTGACAGTGAGAAATGAAGTTCTGATACCTGCTACGACATGTGTGAATTTTTTTTTTTTTTAGCTGAGCCATCTTGCCACGTGTTGGCGGCTCAGCGGCAGCTCAGCTCGGGCTGTGAATCAAACCGGGGACCCTGTTGCTCAGAGCTCAAACTCTTGAGCGAGCTCTTAACCAACTGAGCCACTCGGCCGGCCCCGACATGTGTGAATCTTTAAACAAGGGAAAGAAAGAAGTCTGTCACAGAAGACCATAAGTAGTATAATCCTAATTATAGGAAATGTCCACAATAGGCAAATCTACTGAGATAGAAAATTAGATTAGTGTTTGCCAGGGGCTGGGGGAGGGGAGAATGGAGACTACTGATTGGGTTCTTTGGGGGGGTGACTAAAATGTTCTAAAATTAGATAGTGATGGTTACACAACTCTGTGACTATACTAAAAATCCACCTAATTGTACACTTGAAAGACCCTGCATTTTATAGTATGAATCTCAATAAAGCTGGTATTTAAAAATGTTGCCACTTAGCCGTATTGAAACAGCAGCCATAGCAGAAGCTAACATGACTGATGACTACACTGCCAGACAATGAGCTGCATACACAAGCTTCATGTTGTCTTCACAGCATCCTGTGAAGCACTGTGTGAGCTGCTGCTGCATAACAAACCACCCCGAACTCGGGCTTAAAACAGTAACCGTTCCTTAGGCTCCAAGTCTGCGGCCCAGGCCGGTTAGTTCTTTTGCTCTGGGCCAGGCCTGGTTATCTCTGCCACGCTTCCTCGTGCATCTGAGGTTAGCTGGCTGCTCAAGGCTGGCCCCAGTGGGGCTGACTGATTCTGCGCCACGCTGAGTCTCAGCCTCTAGCAGTGTGTCCTGGACTTGTCATTGTAGCGGTGGCAGAGGTCCAAGGGCTGAGATGACTTAGGACCTCTGCAAACATGGCTCAGAACCAGCAGTTCTCCTGTCACCTTCTAGAACAGCCTAGTGTTGGCCAACCCAGCTTCAAAGGGGGAAAGGAGACTTTCCACTTTATGGGATGAGCGGCAAAAGCACCGTTTTTCCAACGTGGAAACTGTTAGAAAATGAAGACGTCTGGATGTAAACATGGTTACTGGACTTAAGAGCTACATTCCTCATTGTTACACCACATTTCTTCCTAGGTGGCCCCAATCTTTCATTTGTGCAGCTATTTGTTGATGTTGATCTTCGCTAAGAAAAAATGAATTATTAAAATTCATTTTATTAATTTTCAACCTTATTTCAGTTTGCTGACATTTTATTAATAATTTTTTATAACTTCACGATTTTAAACATTTAGTTATAAAAGTTAACCAATGAGAACCAAAAGTTGTTTCGATGAAGTTTTAAATCAGAAATGATGAAACAGAGTTTCAGTTTCATATCAGTTTCAGTATCAAATGAATTTTGGCTTTTATTTTGTATGTACAATATTAGAAATCTTGTAACACAGATAAGTAGTTGCAAGTGGTAACCATTTGTGATAGCAGGTTTTTTATTTTACTTTTAAAAACTTTACATCAGCAGAGTTGCAAAGACAGTCTCAAGAACTTCCCTGCACCTCTCACTTAGCTTCCCTGACGTTACTGCCTTGTGTAACCCCAGCACAATGATCAGTTAAGAAGTTAATATTGTAACAGTACCATCAACTAGGCTCCAGACTTTATTTAGATTTCCCCAACTTCTCTGCTAATGTCTTCTTTCTGTATAGGATCCTGCATATGGAAATCTTTTGTTTTTTGAAAACTATCACATACATTATTACCTACCTTTTAAAATTTTTGTGAAAATGATAAATTTGAGAAATATATCCTATGATGTCATTCAAGTAACAATTAACAGGATACAGTTACCGGAAGAGATCTGCAGCCTAGATCAGTGGTTCTCAACTTGGCTGCACATAAGAAACATCTGGGTATAATTAAAACTTCTGATGCCCAGACTGCATCTCAGACCAGTTAAATTACAATCTCTGGTAGTGAGTGAGATGCAGACATCGGTACTTTTCCAAGTTCCCTAGTTGATTCCAATGTGCAGCCAAGCATGAGAAGAACCACAGCATAGATGTCAGTGGTTAAGGGAATTTCAAGCCATTTAACTAACATATAGTCTTTGGGTATGGTTATTCAACCAATTAAACATTCAGTGCATATTTCTCCAAAAAGCTACGTGAGACTGTCAAACGCATTACTTTAATGAAGACATGATATATACATAATGGCACTACTCTGATTTATCGTTTTAGGAATTCTGACAAAAAGGATGTATTATTAGTCTGCCATGACTTTTCTCTACTGATGTCATTTCCTGATGATCAGTAATTCTTTTTCCAAATAGGTGGTTCTCAACTGAGGCAATTTTGCCCCCTATGGGGCATCTGGCAACGCCTGGAAGCATTTTTAGGTGTCATGACTTGGGGGAGTGGTGCTGCTGGCACCTGGTGTGAAGAGGCCAGGGCTTCGCTAAACATCCTGCAAGGCCCAGGAGAGGCTCCCACAGCCGTCACCCAGCCCCGTGTCTGTCACAGTGCCGTGTCTGTCACAGTGCCGAGGCTGACAAAGATTGTTCTAAATCGTGAGCCATGCAGCAAAAATTTGGTTCATGGAGACTGATCTCATTGCTTTCACAATTTCAGTTAGAAAACACAGAATTTGTTATACTGCATTTTACAATCCTCATTCTGTCTCCCCAAGTTTGGATTCCTAGAGCAGCATCAGGGCTACAGAAGTAAAGAGGTTTCTCTGAAACCCACTGATTATGACAAACTTCAACCCCTTGCAAACTTCTCCAAGCTCTCGGTGTCACACCGCTGGTGTTTCTGCTAGAAACAATGAGCACTTACTCTCCAAATGAAAAGGGGAGCAACTGACAGTGAATGTACACTCACTCTTCTAACGGGGAACGCAGAGGAGGAAGGAAATGCAAGGGACTCCGACTGCTTCCTAATCTAGAGGATGTTCTGGATATTGCTCAATAAACTAAACCTAGAAAGTTCCTCAACAAGTTGACTCCAGACTGGTGAAACAAATGAGGGCTCTAAAGGATTCACAAGAGGCGTGTTGAGTGTACACACGTGCCCTGGGTCCACACCCTAAATTTTAGGGCTCAGTGATACATCGGTCCATCTGTACATTTGGATGATAATGGTTCTGGTGTGGAGATACATAGGCGCTAAAGACAGACACAAAGAAAAAGATCTGCATAAAACAATCTGATCTACTGTGCTAGTGTTGCAGGTAATTTTCTTCCTTGATTTTTATTTTTAATGTTATTCACAATAGAATATTAGTGATATTAATAGTTTCTATATTAAAAACTGTCCCAACTTCAATAAGGTGTCCATATTAAAAAGTTTTTATGAGGGCCGGCCGAGTGGCGCGTTGGTTAAGAGCTGGCTTGGGACGCCAGCTCTGAGCAGCAGGGCCCCGGTTCGGATCCCACATGAAGGCCAGTGACGCTGCCCTCTACAGCTAAGATGCTGAACAACAGCTCGACCTGGAGCTGGGCTGCTGAGTCACCAGTGACGGCGTAGGCTGCAGTGGACTGCCATAAGCTACCGTGAGTGGCTGGCAGCCGGCGTGAGCTGCCAAGAGCCGCTGTGAGCGGCCGGCGACCAATCTGCCTCACCCGGAAAGAGCACAATGATAATACCAACATGGGCCAGTGAAGTGACGTCCTCCACAACTAGACTGAAGAACAGAAAGACAGCAACTTGTCTGTTCCCCTTCCCCGTTTCCCCAATGCTGTTCCCATCCCCCAATTCCCCAATAAAACCTTAAAAAAAAAAGTTTTTATGAGACCTAAGCAAAACCATTTTTATAGTGACTAATAAAAACATAGGGGTCCCTATGTATATTAGATTACTCAATTGCAACACTGTTTCTAGTATTAAAAGAATGTGAAGAACCTAAATATCTGTCAATAGTGGATAAGCAGCATATCCATACAATGGAACATCATGCCGCTGTTTAATTAATTTTTAAAAGAAATTTTATTGGGGGACAGTGTGTTTTTTCCAGGACCCATCAGCTCCAAGTCAAGTAGCTGTTTCAATTCAGTTGTGGAGGGCACAGCTCCTTGGCCCATGTGGGAATTGAACCGGCAACCCCGGTGTTATGAGCCTGTGCTCTAACCGTCACTGGTTGCCCCCATGCCACTGTTTAAAAACAAAACAACCC